AAACGTGCTCTAACATATAAAAGGAGACTGATACGACTCGTGACGGATCTCTCTACTGAAACTTAGCAGGCCAGAAAGGAATGGCAGGAAATCTTCAATGTGATGAACAGAAAAAATATGAAGCCGAGAATCCTTTATCCAGCAAGTCTGTCATTTAGAATAGGAGAGATAAAGGTCTTTCCAAACAAACAAAAACTGAGGGAATTCGACACCACTGAACCAGCTCTACAAGAGATCCTAAGGGGGATCCTGTGAGACAATGTCCAGAGGCATCGCTACAAGCATGAAACCTACAGACATTGCAATGACTCTAAACCCATATCTTTCTATAATAACACTGAATGTAAATGGACTAAATGCACCAACAAAAAGACATAGGGTATTAGAATGGATAAAAAAAAAAAACAAGACCCATATATTTGCTGTCTACAAGAGACTCATTTTAGACCTGAGGACACCTTCAGATTGAAAGTGAGGGGATGGAGAACTATCATGCTACTGGAAGTCAGAAGAAAGCTGGAGTAGCCATAATTATATCAAACTAGACTTTAAATTAAAGGTTGTAACAAAAGATGAAGAAGGACATTATATAATAATTACAGGGTCTATCCATCAGGAAGAACTAACAATTATAAATGTCTATGTGCTGAATATGGGAGCCCCAAATATATAAAACAATTACTCACAAACATAAGCAACTTTATTGACAAGAATGTGGTCATTGCAGGGGACTTTAATACCCCACTTACAACAATAGATAGATCATCTACACACATGGTCAATAAAGAAACAAGGGCCCTGAATGATACATTGGATCAGATGGACTTGACAGATATATTTAAAACTCTGCATCCCAAAGCAACAGAATATACTTTCTTCTCGAGTGCACATGGAACATTCTCCAGCATAGATCACATACTGGGTCACAAAACAGCCCTTCATAAGTATAAAGGAATTGAGATCATACCATACATATTTTCGGACCACAATGCTATAAAGCTTGAAATCAACCACAGGAAAAGTCTGGAAAACCTCCAAAAGCATGGAGGTTAAAGAACACCTTACTAAAGAATGAATGGGTCAACCAGTCAATTAGAGAAGAAATTAAAAAAAATTATGGAAACAAACGAAAATGAAAATACAACAGTCCAAATGCTTTGGAATGCAGCAAAGGCAGTCCTGAGAGGAAAATACATTGCAATCCAGGCCTACCTCCAGAAACAAGAAAAATCCCAAATACAAAATCTAACACACTTAAAGGAAATAGAAGCAGGACAGCAAAGACACACTAAACCCAGCAAAAGAAGAGAAATAATAAAGATCAGAGCAGAAATAAACAATACAGAATCTAAAAAAACTGTAGAGCAGATCAACGAAACCAAGAGTTGGTTTTTTGAAAAAATAAAATTGATAAACCTCTAGCCAGGCTTCTCAAAAAAAAAAAAAAAAGGGAGATGACCCAAGTAGATAAAATCATGAATGAAGATGGAATGATTACAACCAATCGCTCAGAAACACAAGGACTTATCAAAGAATACTATGAAAAATTATATGCCAACAAACTGGACAACCTGGAAGAAATGGACAAATTCCTAAACACCCACACACTTTCAAATCTCAATCAGGAGGAAATAGAAAGCTTGAACAGACCCATAACCAGCGAAGAAATTTAATCAGTTAATAATCTCCAAACAAATAAGAGTCCAGGACCAGATGGCTTCCCAAGGGAGTTCTACCAGACGTTTAAAGCAGAGATAATACCTATACTTCTCAAGCTATTCCAAGAAATAGAAAGGGAAGGAAAACTTCCGGACTCATTCTATGAAGCCAGTATTTGATTCCTAAACCAGACAGAGACCCGGAAAAAAAAGAGAACTACAGGCCAATATCCCTAATGAATATGGATGCAAAAATTCTCAATAAGATACTAGGAAATCCAATTCAATAGCATATAAAAAGAATTATTCACCATGATCAAGTGGGATTCATTCCTGGGCTGCAGGGTTAGTTCAACATTCACAAATCAATCAACGTGATACATCACATTAATAAAAGAAAAGATAAGAACCATACGATCCTGTCAATTGATGCAGAAAAAGCATTTGACAAAATTCAGCATCCTTTCTTTTTTTTTTATAATTTTTTTAACGTTTATTTATTTTTGAGAGAGACAAAGCATGAACGGGGGAGGGTCAGAGAGAGGGAGACACAGAATCTGAGACAGGCTCCAGGCTCTGAGCTGTCACCACAGAGCCCGACGCGAGGCTTGAACTCACGGACCGCGAGATCATGACCTGAGCCGAAGTCAGTCGCTTAACTGACGGAGCCACCCAGGTGCCCCTCCGCAGGCTTTCTTAAAAATCCTCGAGAAAGTCGGGATAGAAGGATTATACTAAACATCATAAAAGCCATTTATGAAGAGCCCACATCTAACATCCTCAATGGGGAAAAACTGAGAGCTTTTTCCCTGAGATGAGGAACACGGACAGGGATGTCCACTCTCACCGCTGTTGTTTTAACATAGTGTTGGAAGTGCTAGCATCAGCAATCAGACAACAAAAGGAAATCAAAGGCATCAGAACTGGCAAAGATGAAGTTAAGCTTTCACTTTTTGCAAAGGACATGATATTATACATGGAAAATCCGATAGACTCCACCAAAAGTCTGCTAGAACTGATACATGAATTCAGCAAAGTCGCAGGATAGAAAATGTACAGAAGTCAGTTGCATTCTTATACACGAATAATGAAGCAACAGAAAGACAAAGAAACTGATCCCATTCACAATTGCACCAAGAAGCATAAAATACCTAGGAATAAATCTAACCAAAGATGTAAAAGATATGTATGCTGAAAACTACAGAAAGCTTATGAAGGAAACTGAAGATATAAAGAAATGGAAAAACATTCCATGCTCCTGGGTTGGAAGAATAAATATTGTCAAAATGTCAATACTACCCAAAGCTATCTACCCATTCAATGCAATCCCAATCAAAATTGCACTAGCATTCTTCTCGAAACTAGAACAAGCAATCTTAAAACTCATATGGAACCACAAAAGGCCCCGAATAGCCAAAGTAATTTTGAAGAAGACCAAAGCAGGAGGCATCACAATCCCAGACTTTAGTCTCTACTACAAAGCTGTCATCATCAAGACAGCATAGTATTGGCACAAAACAGACACATAGACCAATGGAATAGAATAGAAACCCCAGAACTAGACCCACAAACGTATGGCCAACTCATCTTTGACAAAGCAGGAAAGAACATCCAATGGAAAAAAGTCTCTTTAACAAATGGTGCTGGGAGAACTGGACAGCAACATGCAGAAGGTTGAAACTAGACCACTTTCTCACACCATTCACAAAAATAAACTCAAAATGGATAAAGGACTTGAATGTGAGGCAGGAAACCATCAAAACCCCAGAGGAGAAAGCAGGAAAAGCCCCCCTCTGACCTCAGCCATAGCAATTTCTTACTTGACACATCCCCAAAGGCAAGGGAATTAAAAGCAAAAATGAACTACTGGGACCTTATGAAGATAAAAAGCTTCTGCACAGCAAAGGAAACAATCAACAAAACTAAAAGGCAACCAGCAGAATGGGAAAAGATATTTGCAAATGACATATCGGACAAAGGGCTAGTATCCAAAATCTGTAAAGAGCTCACTGAACTCCACACCCCCCCAAAAAAATTTCCCAGTGAAGAAATGGACAGAAAACATGAATAGACACTTCTCTGAAGAAGACATCCAGATGGCCAACAGGCACATGAAAAGATGCTCAATGTCGTTCCTCATCAGGGAAATACAAATCAAAACCACACTCAGATATCACCTCACGTCAGTCAGAGTGGCCAAAATGAACAAATCAGGAAACTATAGATGCTGGAGAGGATGTGGAGAAACGGGAACCCTCTTGCACTGTTGGTGGGAATGCAAACTGGTGCAGCCACTCTGGAGAACAGTGTGGAGGTTCCTCAAAAAATTAAAAATAAACCTATCCTATGACCCAGCAGTAGCATTGCTAGGAATTTACCCAAGGGATACAGGAGTACTGATGCATAGGGGCACTTGTACCCCAATGTTTCTAGCAGCACTCTCAACAATAGCCAAATTATGGAAAGAGCCTAAATGTCCATCAACTGATGAATGGATAAAGAAATTGTGGTTTATATACACAATGGAGTACTACGTGGCAATGAGAAAGAATGAAACATGGCCCTTTGTAGCAACTTTGATGGAACTGGAGAGTGTGATGCTAAGTGGAATAAGCCATACAGAGAAAGACAGATACCATATGTTTTCACTCTTATGTGGAACCTGAGAAACTTAACAGAAACCCATGAGGGAGGGGAAGGGAAAAAAAAAGAGGTTAGCGTGGAAGAGAGCCAAAGCATAAGAGACTCTTAAAAACTGAGAACAAACTGAGGGTTGATGGGGGTGGGAGGGAGGGGAGGGTGGGTGATGGTATTGAAGAGGGCATCTTTTGGGATGAGCATTGGGTGATGTATGGAAACCAATTTGACAATAAATCTCATATATTAAATAAATAAATAAATAAATAAACTTGATACAAAAAATAATAAAGTCATCAAAAAGATCACAGAATTAATAATACCCCACCATCACCACCATTACAACCCCCATCAAAAACTTAAAATGAAAAAAACAGAAAATAATGAAACATGAATCTGTCTCTCACGGGTAGAGATTTTTTTAATGGATTTTAATTTAAAATAAGTGGTTATTTAAAAAGGACCAGTTAGAAATCTTGGAATAAAAATATATTTATTGAAATATCAAAAAAAATAAAATAAAAGGAAAAAACTTTCACAGACAGGAAAAGCATAAAGACAGAAGGGAAGAACAAAAAGAAGTTATATGAACCATAGATTTTGTTCATATCCAGATATCCGTGTGTTGCCTAAAATTTCCTGAGTACCAGGAAATAAAAATAAAGAACAAAAATTGTTTTTTTTAAAGATAGATGAAACAGTTACCTGTTTAATAAGCAGCTTCCATATGGGCTGGATTTCTACCTCAATGGCATTGGGCCCACACACTAATCTTCTGTAAGAAAGTGATGACCAATTAAGTGCCAAATCTAAAACCTCATTGAAAGGGTGGGTGATGGGTATTGAAGAGGGCATCTTTTGGGATGAGCACTGGGTGTTTTATGGAAATCAGTCTGGCAATAAATTTCATATTTAAAAAAAATTAAAAAATAAAAATAAATAAAAATAAAACCACATTGATAAGTGAGTACAACCAAACTAGGCAAAAGTCACTTCTCTACCATTAAGGCTCTTTGTGCCTTTAATCAAAAAATATTAATGTACACATCCTAAAATATTAACATAGTTTTAAAATGAAAGTGCATGATGGACAAAGTTGTTTTTCTAGTTAAAAAAAAAACCTTAATGCAACTCAAGAATCAAAATGCAGTTAGAAAGGCATGTTGAGTTATTTTTAAACAATTCAATCACATTCTGAGAACACCTAACAAGACCCAGATGTGACTATGTTTCTAGAATTCTCGGGCATTCTAGATTGCTCTTGATGTTCGGGATCATATATATCTTACCTTGGTCTCTTCAGCACCTAGGACAGGCCCTTAGTATATGAAAATAAATTCATGAATGAATGAGCCAACAAACTAGAAGATGATATATGGTCTTCACATCTAACACTTTGCTAATCCACACATGAGTACATTCCAGTAAGAGGCCCTTATGTTTGTACAGCATCTGACAATCTACAGCGTTCTCACACAAGATTCTCTCGTTTGTCACAACGGTCTAGAGGAAAGGGCTAATATCTCCCATTTTGCCAATGGGAAAAACTATTCATCGTGTGTGTTCTGCCAAAGGTACCCATATCTAGTATTAATTGTGACAATGCAACTCTTAGTCTTTTATACGTATTATCTCCTGTAATCATCACATTACCTCTATGAGGTTTCATATTATCATCTTTATTATAAAGGAAACTGAAGTTCAGATAAACTCAGTAACTCCCCCAGAGCCACAAGAGCAGGAAATAAGCGGATCCAGGTGTCACACCGTGGGCTCCACGACTCCACCTCACACTCCGTGAGCACTGATGGTGCAATGTGCATGACGTTTCCTGAATCTAAGGTGTAACAGAGCTCAGCCCAAGTTTGTCTGATTTCCAAGCCGCGCCTTTCCTACTGCAATGATTTGCATGGATCCCAGAGGACACAAACTAGGGTCTTCTGACTCCATGTGTGAAAACACTGAGGTGCAGAGATGCTGGGAGACAGAGAGGTCAAACAGCGTGTGCTGCTGGGTTTGCTGCCTGTGACTCAAGATTCCTTTCCTCTGGTACTCACAGGCATGCCCTTTTTTCCCAGTCAGGTGACAGACGTTGAGAATTAAGTTCGGCCCTGAAGTATACCCAAACTGACAGGGAACATCTCTTCCAAGCTCCACATTCAGTGATGTCACGTTGGTGGCTTGAAATCAGCAATAGCTGTTGTTTTTCCCACGATAGAATTTGGCAGACTCTCCCCATCCAAGCTTTTCTTCTTCCAGAGAGCTGGGTTACCAACAGGGTGACTGGTCTGGGGCCCACGTTAAGAGCTGCCTTGACCACCAAACATTTCTCCTTCTACTTCAGGAGGGTAAACAAAGGAAGCAGGAGCAGGGCATTAAGTGAAAAGAAAATGAGGAGGTGCACAACTGTCCTAAGACTATTGGATGGATGGGGGTAAGGTAGGTGTGGTTTTCCCTGTTTCTGTGAGATAAGAGAATTGCCTCAAGTCCCTGTGGACCTATCTACGACAGGCAGTGAGAAAGTGGCATCCAGTTCATGAATGAGTGAAGATAGGAGCGGGGAACCTCTTGGAATATTTTTCTTCCCAAGGCCTTCTGAAAATTTCTCTTCAGGATGTTGTCTCTCCTGATGTCCTGATTTGCTTTTTTGCTACCAAAAAGGTGACCACATAAATGTGTCCATTTTCCCTCTTTGCCTGGTTTCTGGGAAGCCTGAAGAGAAAGCTGTATTTAGACTTTGTGGCTTTTTGTCATCAAGGAGTTCTCAGTATCCTCCTTCATTTCTCATGTTGCATCCTTGCTTTTCATGAAGGCAAACTCATCTCCAGTTAGGAATTTAATCAGACATCACTCAAACAATCAATCAATCACATTTTGAGTTTTGAAAAAAAAAAAAAAGCCCTAGTCTTACATTAAAAAATGATGGGAAAAAAATAAAATAAAAAATAAAAAATGATGGGGGCGGGTGGAGGAGAACTTCACATTCTATTCACTCTCTTTACTGTCCACCTAGAAAAACCCATGAGTAAAACCTGCCTGTGTATTTGAATGTAGATTATCTCCTCTATCCTTCGCATTTGGGAAACTAAACTCTTTGTCTTGCTCATTACATTGTCAAGTTCTTTACGGTGTGGACCAGCTTTAAATTTAATTATGTGTGATATTTAGTAAAGCTTGGCACTCGCTAAGGACAAATGTGAAGGGCAATCCTTCCTGTAGAAATGGTGTCCTAGGAGAAGTAAACTTGCGTTAATCAACTACACCTCCTAACAGCTCAATCCTTCACGTGTCTGGTGCTTAATGCTATGAAACCAGTACCCTCTTAATGACTCTGACAACATTTTGTGTTTCAACGTAATCAGCATTACATCTGAAATCTTATACAGTGATATTATCTCTAAGGCGTTTTGCAAATATTGTCAGAATCTGGATGATGCCTTGTTCATTTTTGTTGTCATTTTTCATTCAGCAGGAGAAAAGTTTAAAAATCGGTAATTCTCAGAGTTGGTGCGCATATGAATCGTCGGAGCAAGGGTTTGCTAAAAATGCAGTTTCTGCTCTCACTGCTACCCTTAGTTCCTACTTACTAAATGAAAATTATGAGGGTGGAGCCCAAGAACCTGTATTTTATGTACCAGAATGCTTCTTAGCTGGAGAATTTGTGTTTCTTATAGACTGTGAGGAAGGTCGGGCAGGATAGGTCCTGAAAATGGGCGAGAAATGAAGGTAATTATTAGGATTCTGGGGAAGACTTGCAATGGTTTACTTTCAGACTCACCAGCATTCACTATTTCAAATTACAGATGAGGGAAGCAGAGACTCAAAATCGCTATGGGTTAATAAGTAGCAAAAGCATTTTTATGGTACTACTATACTATTATGTCCTAATCTCTGTGCATTTATAGATATTCTCACAATTGTACCACTATTCTTTCCCAATAGTTAGTGAATGTCTCTGGGGTAATGAGTAAGCCTTATTTATCCTTAGATCTTTAGTGCTTGCAAAGTGCTTAGCCTAGTAAAGGCATTCGGTCAATAGATTAATGAATGCATTCGTGTATTCATTCATTCCACAAATATCTGTTGAGCGTCAATGAATCAGGCACTGTTCTTTCTAGGTGTTATGAATGACACAACTACCTGAGCAAACAAAATCCTCATCTCCAGGCTGTTTCTTCATAGGAAAATTAATCATAATATTGTCTTTCTGCCTCTCCAAGGATTTAGAGGATGACAAATCAGATGTCTATGAAATGACTCAAGGCTTTTTAAGGAAAGAATGAAAACAACAACACAGACGAGACTATTTTACAATCCTGAAAGAAAAGACCAAATATTATATGCCTGCAATGTTCTTTTGGACTCTTGTTTTTTTAATAAGTTTGCCTGCGATGAAAACAACTTAAAATTTGTCTCTGTTGCTGGTAAATAAACTGGAATTAAATGAAGCTGATGAAGCATTATGCCAATAGCTCACTGATCATAAGCCATTTGATATTTCAATTTCTGACGGCCGAGTTTACTCTCAGGAAGTATCACAAACCCTACCTGACCTCTTGCTCTTCACTGGTCAGGCCCAGTCCAAACGTGTGGTGGATATCATAGCAGGAGTTGCTGTCTTCCAGCAGGCTAGGGTGTGGTCAGGACAAGAAGCATACCTTAGTTCGTGGCACCCAACAAATCCGGTTCCTCCCTTATATCCTGATGAATGCTGAGAAAAAGACTTACCCGACTTTCTGAAACCTCTTCTCCAAGTAGTCCCAAACATACCTGATTTTCCGCACTTGGATATATCGCAGCTGCAATTACAAATGTGATAGAACAGATGTCATTCACCAAGTAAAGCCCGTCAGGGGAGGTGAGGGCTTCTTGGTAGGGGTCCCCACGCAGCTCTCACTTGCCTTGATACATTGTTGTAATTCCCAGCCCAGCAGCCTCACTTGCCTTGACACACTGTTGTAATTCCCAGCCCAGCAGCATGACATTCAGAACTTTCCTCCAATAAACATTTGCAGTATTCTTTTTTAGCAAAGACATGCCATAACATTGTGCTCAAAATTGCTTACTTTTAATTCTGGCTTCAATACCGCATGGTTAATGACAGAGTGGCGGTCAGCCACCAGGGGTTCTTCTGGGTTCTTGCTTATAGGAAACTTCAGTGTCGCTAAGTAGAGGCATATAACCTTCTTCCTCGTATATCTTTGGAATTCATCCTAGAGAAATCAATCCAGCCCATGAAATTCTCAAATACTATTTATTCAATAAGTCACTCAATCAACCAAATACCTACCTAGACCAGAGATTCTCAAAGTTTGGGCTACAGACAAGAGGATCAGCATTAGCTTGAAACTTGCTAAAAATGCAAATTCTCAGCCCTACCATAAGCCTACTAAGTCAAAAATTCTGGGGTGAGGTCAGCAGTCTGTGCTAAGGAGCCCTCCAACTAATTTGAGAACCACTGTGCTAGAGAATGAAAAGACACACTTCACAGGAAAGTTTTTTTTATGAAGAAAACAGCTTCTGGCTATCTTAACATGACATTTAAGCGTTTAAAATCTCTACTTCCCCTCAAAATTTGTATTCTAAAAAAACTGAAAAATATCTAAAAATACATCCTTCCTGTGTTATGTCTTTAAGTGTTGTAATACCAACAGCCACTACTCGTGTAATGGCTAAGGAAACTGAAAATTAGCCTGACATAGTAGTCATTTCCCCAGAGTGACATGGAGGAAATGTCCTTCCTTCCTGAGTCAAAGTAAGAGAGGTCAAGTTCCAGGATACTATTGCCATCTACTTGGGGACAAGAAAACTCAAGCAAAGAAAGATCTCTGGAACACCAGCCAGGCATTGGTGGCACCACCAATGCAATGCTGAAGGGCACTTACCGTTGTTCTTAGCAAAACAGTGTCTGCTTCTTGCAAAGGGCATGGGTTGCAATTAGCCCACACTCTCCACTGGGGCTTCCAGTAGAACACCAGCAGAAGAACCCCACATGTCAGCATGGTTGTTATAAGGCACAGGGCTCTGCGAAGATTCTGGGTCCGGTAACCAAACACCTCCTGGAGAGTAAAGAAAACATGACTCTATTTTTCTTTTTTTACATAAACACATCATTTTGTTCCAAGAAACACAAGCTTTAGATGCAGGGGTGTTAGTTGGGAGGCAGATCTGGTTTCGGCTGGTTGAAACAGATCGATTGCTCACAGCTGTCAGCTGATACAATAAAAAAAAAAAAAAAAAGACCCATTTGGCTACCCTGGCATATGGAGCTTAAAACAGACGGGCAGACCAAAGAATGGGCAGACTTATTTGGTTCTAGTTTTAGGAGTCACCCCATGATTTGGACCAGATTCACTTTTTTTTAGGTATAAAGTTTAAAAATATATTAATGTAAATTTACTGGTGGAAGATGATACAAATGGTGGGATGATATAAATTAAGAGATTATCTGTGAACATGAAAGATTTTCAAAAGACAGCTTATAGGAATTTACCCTGATAGTAACATGCTGAAATATTTCTACTTTTAGTAGTAGGGGAGTTGATATTATCATGAAATGAGTAAAGACTTTGAGATGCGGTTTTAGAAGGAAACAGTCGAAAACAATATATACCTTTCAAACAAATTTCTAATTTCTCTCTTCCACAAAGAAGTGTCACAACTGGTTTTTAAATTTCAAAAACTTGATTTTTAGTATACTTGGAAGACCCAGAAGAATGTTGATTATGAATGACATTATTACTATATTATTTTACCTTCTGCTGTTTTATGTGTGTGTGTTTCTAAGACTTTGACTTCCATGTCCACATCACAGAGATGTAGTGTTAAGAAATGGGTTTTTACTGAGTTTCTATAGCATTTTTAATGGCGAAATCTTCTGGAATTTGATGCCAGTTTAGATCATGTTATAATAAATCTCTTGGCTTAATATTTGGAATAGTTTTCATCTTCAGTGATCATTTTCATTTTTTCTAGTAAAGAACTCTGGTAAATGAAGATTTTAATAACAGTTGTTGAAAGTAATCCTTAAACATGATGGAAAGGTCACAGGTAGCAAAGATGTTTGAGTCACTGCTCTACTGGTTATTAGCTATGTGACCTTGGGTAATTCATATTGTAAGGGTTAAATTGTGTAGGGTTAACAGGGAGCTTGAAAAATAACAGCTTTGTTCTGACACTGAAGGTGAAGGGATAACAGCCTTGCTTTACTCTTGCAAATCACATTTCATACTCTTGTAAATCAGGCTTTACCAATGAAGGAAAACAAAAGCTCAGAGAAAGCATCAGAGGCAAGGTCAAGGAGATCCACTGGTTGCAACTTAGTGGCAGAAAGTCTAAAATAATCACCTCATTTGGCAACTGTTTCTAACACATCTGGCAACTCTCATCTGGGAACTGTTTCTCTGTTCTGTCCCCAGGTAATGATAAAACGATGTGATCAGCTTTAAAAACCCTGTACCCCGGTTGTTCGAGGCCGCATTCTTATCAAGAGTGTTGGTCCCGATAGGTCGGCCTTGCCTCTCATTGTAATAGACTTTGTTGTGACTGTCACTGGTGCCCCTAGCATTCTGTTTCAGGAGTCATATGGATGCAACATTTGGTGCATTGGCCGGGAAAGTTAAAGGTCTGAAATAAGGCTCTTCCTCAGATTGCTCCACCAACCCCTGGGAGGAAGCTTGGGATTGGGAGAGGTAAGGGATTCTTGGGGCGCACCATTTGAATGACTCAGGAGGGTCTGTCGGATGCGCCTATAGACCCGGAGTCAGGGATGCTACCGGGACACCAATGGACCCCATTTGATTTGGTTTTTGTCAAGAAAGATCCTATTTTTCAGGTGACTGCCACGGCCTACTGGCCTTGAGATCTCAAACTGTGTTGTCTTCGTGTCTTGTCCTCTTCCTGTTGACTGTGCGTCCCTGTCAGTTTTGCCTTTGTCATTGGTCAAAATCAGAGTCTCATACTAACTCATTTCTAGGACTATAGGAGAGCTGTCTCAGTTTTTGGCCTCCACGTTAAGAAGCCAGTCCTTCGAACTCTCTGTGAGGTGGAATGGACCAGCTTTCAAGTCGAATCGCCTCCACAGGGGAACTTTGACCTTACTTTGGTATATAAGGTTCATGATATTGTCTTTTCTAGGCACGAAGACCATATTCCATACATTGAGGCATGAAGGACCCTCATTGAAAACCCTCCAGATTGGTTAAAACTTCTCCTTCCCCTTCCCCCTTGCCTCCCTAAAGTACAGGCTTTATAACTCAAAGGCTGCCCATTTGGAGCTCAGAATAAGAATCTTGATGGGACTAGGTGGCCGCTTCCTCTATCACCTGCACCAGAGGAAGAAGAAACCACCCGCCGCCCTATAGTTCTCGCTCAAAGAATACAAGTCAAGATGCTTCAGATCAGGAGGCAAGCCCAAGTTGGGACACTCCCCTGAGCCCGTCTCACACCCGCTCAGGGACTCCCGGAATTCCATCCCACTCCCACTGCCCTGCCCCTTCTTCCAGGGCCACCCCTTGCAGGGTGATGTCCGACCCTTTATGACTTATGTACTCTTCTCCACTAGCGACCTTTATAATTGGAAACTTCAAAACCCCTCATTCTCAGAGAGACCCCAAACATTAATTTCTCTTCTTGAAACTATATTTGTGACCCATCAGCCAACCTGGGATGACTGCCAGCAGTTCTTGCAGGTTCTCTTCACCACTGAGGAAAGAGATAAGATCCATCACGAGGCCCAGAAATTAGTGATGGGGACAAACGGGCAACCTACCGAGGATCCCGCTGTACTTGAGGAAGTTTTTCCCTCCTCACATCCTGAAAATTGGGACTGAAACACTCCTCACGGTAGGCGATCATTGACCTTATTTCACCAGACTCTACTGGGAGGTCTCCCAGTGGCCTCCCGCTGGCCCACAAACATGTCTAAGGTAACAGTAGTTCAGGGGGCCGAGGAAAGCCCCCTCAGCCTTCTTAGAAAGGCTCATGGAGACGTACCGCACCTTTACCCCTATTGACCCTGAGGCACCTGAAAATAGAAGGGCATTAAACCTGGCCTTTGTCTTACAAAGGCCCCAGACATTAGGAAAAAGTTACAAAAATTAGATGGGTTTGAAGGAAAAAATTTACTTGAGTTAGTTTAAATAGCCCAAAAAGTTTTTAACAATAGGGATTCTCAGGAAGAAAGACAAAAAAAAATTGACTAGGGTGGTAGCGGCTGTCCTGGATGCCCGCGGGGAAGAGGACCCAGAACGTCCAAAGAATTCTGGTCTGGGCAAAAGAAAAAAGACAAAGGGTTAAAGCGCCACTAGGAAAAAACCAATGTGCATATTGCAAACAAGAGGGACACTGGAAAAAGGATTGCCCCAACTTAGCCCCACGCAAAACTCGGCCACTCCAGGTATCTGTAATGGGAGTCGATTCCAACTGACAGGGCCGCGGCTCGGTAGCCCACTTCTGAGCCGTTGGTTACTGTTAATATAGGGGGCCAACCTAAGACCTTCTTGGTGGACACTGGGGCAACATTTCAGTTCTAAAACAAGATCCTGGCCCCACCAGGCAAGGAGCAACCCTGGTGCAAGGAGCAACTGGGTCCCAGACTTGTAAATGGACCACTGAATGACAAGTAGATTTAGGCCATAAAATCGTTACACATTCTTTCCTATTCATACCTGAATGTCCCTACCCTGGATTACTAGGTAGAGACCTGCTGCAGTTTGAAATTCACTGAAGGGGGTATGCATATTAAAGGCCAGGATGGCCCAACAACAGTAATGGTGACTGTGCCACTTGGGGAAGAGGGCCTGCTCACTCCGGTGAGTGATAAAAATGTCCATGCAGTTGATCCCCTCCTTATAAGCCTCCAGGTAGACTTCCCCCAGGTATGGGCCGAGACCAATCCACCTGGGCTGGGGATTCATCAAGCTCCCATAATAGTGGAACTTAAGGCATCTGCACTTCTGGTAAGACTAAAACATTATCCCATGTCCCAGGAAGCTAGGCGGGGAATCGTCATTCACATCAAGCGTTTGTGCAACTCTGGCATTTTGATCCCATGCAAGTCGCCACGGAACACTCTGCTTCTCCCTGTCTGGAAGCCTTATTCATCCGATTTCCGGCCAGTTCAGGACCTAACAGCAGTAAACACCAGGGTAATGGACATTCATTCCATTGTACCCAACCCTTATACTCTCCTTAGTTAGCTTCCCTCTTCTCAGGTGTATTATACATTTCTGGACTTAAAAGATGCCTTTTTTGCCATCCCACTGGCCCCACAAAGCCAGCCACTATTTGCATTTGAATGGACTGATCCTGAAGAGGGAAAAGCAGACAGCTCACTTGGACTCGACACCCCCAGGGATCTAAAAATTCTCCTACTCTTTTTAATGAGGCCCTGCACCAGGATTTAGAGCCATTTTGAATCTCCAACCCCCAGGTAACTCTACTGCAATATGTTGATGATATCTTGTTGGTGGCCCCTTCTCATTTAAAATGCCTGAGAGCCACCAAAGAACTCTTGAGTCTTCTGCAAAAACTGGGGTACCAGGTGTCAGCCAGAAAAGCACAGATCTGTCATATTGCAGTGACTTATTTAGGTCACAACCTTAAAAAAGGTAAGCACTATCTCGGTGAACAAAGAATTCGGGCTATATTCGATATTCCTCAGCTTAAAACTCGCAAACAAGTTCGCGAGTTCCTGGGGGCAGCAGGCTACTGCAGACTATGGATACCTGGCTTTGCTGAACTGGCAGCCCCTTCGTATGCCACTCTCAAGGGGTCTCCAGAGTCCTTCACATGGGGGGAGACTCAAACTAAAGCCTTCTAAGCCTTATGAGATGCTCTCATGACCCCACCAGCCTTGGCCCTGCCAGATCCCACCAAGCCATTCCATTTGTTTGTAGCCAAAAAAGGGGGGTAGCCAAAGGAGTTCTGACTCAGCGCCTGGGACCTTGGCCCTGACTGGTGGCCTATTTATCCAAACGTCTGGACCCAGTTGCTTCCGGGTGGCCCCCATGCATTTGACAAATTGCCGCCACCACACTCCTAAAGACGCAAACTAACC